TTAACAGTTGCCCCAGATTAGAATACACCACAACGTACTACTGCTCACCTGCAAATTTCCTTTGTGGTAAATGCCTAAAATGATTATCGTTTCGTTCTAATTACGCCTATCTAAAAACCTGTATATAATATGATTCACTATGAGAAATAAATCAGTTATTACTCCTAGCATTGGTTGATGTGCCATTTTGTGTAACTACTATGGCGACATCGAACTCTTGGAACCTAACAGGTTATGGGCCCAGGAGAACACTCCTGTTTGACGGGGATGACAGTAAATACGAGCTATGGGAGGTAAAGTTTTTGGGATACATGCGCCTTCAGAAGCTGTACAATGTGGTCGTTCCCCCAGAAGGCGAAACGATAGCCCCAGTGCTGAAAAGAAAGTGAATGCCTTCAACGAACTTGTCCAGTGTTTGGACGACAGAAGCTTGTCCCTCGTCATAAGGGAAGCCAACAACGATGGGAGGAAAGCTTTGCGAGTGCTGCGGGAGCACTATCAAGGGAAAGGAAAGCCCAGAATCATTGCCGTATACACAGAGCTGACTTCGCTTCGTATGAATGACGGAGAGACCACCACGGACTACATTATTAGGGCGGAGACCGCAGCCACTGCTCTGAGGGCAGCTGGGAAGGTAATGAGCGATGGCTTACTGGTAGCTATTGCACTTAAAGGTCTTCTTAGCAGCTACAGGACTTTTGCCACTGTGGTTATGCAGAGAGAAAAGCAAATGACCTTTGCTGAGTTTAAGACAGCCCTTCGAAGCCATGAGGAAAACGAGCGATGTTTCCGTAGCGAAAACGACGGTGTTATGCTGGCTAACGCGTCCAAGCCGGTCCCAGCGAAGTTCGAAGGAAACTGTTATAAATGTGGCAAGAAGGGGCACTAAACTGTGAACTGTTACTCCCATAAAGTAGTGGATAAATGGTGCCAACAACGCCGGACCAAGTCCCACAACACTAAAGAGTGCCGAGTACGGAAGACCGACGCAGCAAAAACAGCCGCGAAACCCCAAAGAAAGAGGGAAATATCAAACAGCATGGACTCCGTTGAACATTATTTTACTTTCACCGTTAAAGACCAAAGTGGTCTAGGTAAGAAACAGCAAAATAGTTTACTTTTCGATTCGGGAGCTACTAGTCATATTGATTTGCATGTTCAGTGGAGCACGTAGTAAAGAATTAGAATTAATTATCGTAATTGCGAATTCGCCTCGACTACGCGCGGTGGGAAAATTAGATCATGTGACTTATAATTTGAAAGGAACAATTTATGCTGTAACAACATTCGAAGCTGGTCATCAACGGTCGTAAATGCAAGCATCAAGATAAAGCGTCGAGATAGCGAATCAAGGGTTCCAACTACTCAGAAACACAAATTGTAAGTTATGAAGCCGTTTATCATTTCGACTAAGAATATTGTAGATAATAATGTATCCCGAAATTATTTAATTTTCAGTTGACTACGACGTAGCCACGGATGTAAGCT